TCGAAATAAATCTTAAAATTAAACAGACAAAGTCATCTTCGATCTGAAGTAATTTGTTATTTTTAAACTCTTTTAATTTTAGATTGTTTTGGAACAATTTCCCTGACGACTAAATTAAAATTATCTGAAAGGTTAAAAAAGAAAAGAAAAGAAACAAGTGATTTATAATTATTTCGATGGTATCAAAATTTCAAATGTTTTTCTTCCCTAAATGCTAAGATTGTTATTTTAACAGGCTTTTATCAAATCATCTCAATTATTAACTGGTAAAATCATTTTTTTAACATTACAAATGAATTAGTTTCAAGTCTGGATGCTTAAGAGAGATTAAATGAATCAGTTTGGGAACAAGTAAGAAAAAAAAATGAGCATTATATCTAGCTGTTAGAGAAAGAAGTAGTTTAAAGTTTTAAGGAAAATGGAAACAAAGAATCAGGAAGAGAGATTTGAAATTTCTAGGGCAAATAACATAGGAAAAAACTTTGAGAGGTCTATGAAAGGAGAAGTTTCATTTGTAAAGCATGAAACTATACTGTACTGAACTATTATGTTTCTATATGGCAGTGTGAATGCTGAAAAATACCGAGAATATCATGGACTGAACATGTGAGAAATTAGAGAAAATGGAAACAAAAAGAATACTTAACATCATATAAAGGTAGTTCAAATTTCTAGGATGCATAATGAAAAAAGAGTGCTTGGAAAATGTGATACTCCTAAGAAAACAGTGCATAACATACCTAATAGACTTGTATAAAATGTCAGGACAGGGTGTAGGAGAAATAGTAGGCTTTACTAAATTTACTAACCTCTACAAAGAAAGGATTAGAAGAGAGCCATGATCAACAAGGAATATGGCATATAAATGAAGAAGAAGACTTAATTTAATAAAATAATTCAGAAACTCTGATTTGATTTAAGGTAAAATTCAATGTTTTAAATTAAAAATAATATTTCATTTTGCATTCCAGCAATGCAGGAAGCTGGAATAATGCCATCAGTACCTGAAACAACATTAACATTGCTAATGAACACCAAATGTTTCCTTATAGGGAAACAGCTAATATTACTATTACATCATAATTACACTTACCTCTATAACATGTTTACAATTACCTCTACATCATGATTACCATTACCGTTACCTCTTCACTATAATTGTCATTACCATTACACCTACACCATGATTGCCATGACCATTACCACTACACCATGATTGCCATGACCATTACCACTACACTATGATTGCCATTACTATTACCCCTACACTATGATTGCTATTACCAATACCTCTACACTATGATTGCCATTACTAATACCTCTACACTGTGATTATCATTACACTCTGATTGCCATTACCACTACACTATGATTGCCATTACCATTACCACTATACTATGATTGCCATTACCATTACCACTACACCCTGATTGTCATTACTATTACCACTGCACTATGATTACCATTCCCTCTACATCATGTTTACCAATACCAGTACCTCTACACCATGATTACCAGTACATTATACCATTGTCATTACCTCTACATCCTGATTACACTTACTGCTACACCATGATTTCTAAAAAGAAGTACATGGTGTCATCATGATTATCATCATAGAAAAAGAAATTGGTAAATCTTGAATACAGTGATTACTTGTGTCCCTTGATACTCATACATTTCCCTCTGTTCTATTGAAACATTGGTTATTTTTCATCTAGCCAAGCTAAGCAAAAGCCACAAAAGCCTGTTACTCTCATAAACTTTGGCTTTTTTTTCTACATGTGTTAGATTATTGATGAGATTAAATAGTCTGGGGTTAATTTTTTGCCACAATTAGCGTTGTAGAAGATTTCTGGAAGGCTTTTGGTGTAAACTCTGTTCAGTATGCCTAAATACCTATTTAAACCTCGAATGTGTGAATTTATTTTAAGAATGTATTTTCACTTGAATTTTTAGAGTTCTTGTTGGCATTTAAATGAAGATGTTTATGGTCCGGTTGGTTGAAATGTGCAACTACAGCGAAATTTGTGTTGTCTTTGATAGTTTTCTCATGGTTATATATATATATATATATTCACACACTCCCTGATATATGTGCATGGGTGTTGGTTTGTGATCTAGACAATCAGCTTATTGATTGGAAACTGATATCTTTTACAATGAGAATAGTCTTCCATTCACTGATTAAAGAAGTGATGTAGTTGAGATAACATAATAACAAATAAAAAAAAACAATCAAGTTGATTAGTTTTCACTTCATTTACTCGATTAATTGAAAATATTAGACATTATTCCTTCTCCTCTAATGGCCAGATTTTTGGTTCATTGTTTTTGTAATTTACGTTTGCCTGAAAAGATCAATCATTGGAATCACCAGACATCTGTAGGTTACTGCATCACTCTTTTCTAAGTTTTGAGATTGGCCATGAAAGAAAGTTAAAGAGGGTAGCAGGATCTTTCTTGGAATTACTTTCTGAAAGTTCTCTGACTGACCAAGTGATTATTCTAAGAAATTGTTATGGTTTCTTTTATACTGTTGTTTACAGAATACAAATCCCAAGACCATCCTGGGTATGACAATAAACTACATCTGGCATCTGATTGGAAGGTTTTGATGAGTATGGAACCACCTCTTAATTGCTGTTGTTTTGAGGTCCAACCTGACCCAGGTGTTAGGGTCCCAGCTATGGATAAATATAGAACTCCTCAAACTGGGATCAAAACAATGTAAAAGTATAAAAATACTTTTTTATAGTAAGAATACCCTTAATAGATTTTAATAGTAAAAAATAAATACCAAAGCTCCCAAGAAAATTAAATTTTGGCATTAAAATACACATAAGGAGTTGATATGCTGTTGGTAATTTTTTATAGAAAAATGTATTGCTTGTATTTTTACTATAAAAATGTCTTTTTTATTTTTTTTCTGTGTTGCATTGATTGTCATTTTGACATTGAAAAATATTGTTTCTCATTTTATTATAAAAATGATTGATTTTTTTTTGAGTGGGGGGTCACCATTTTCCCATAGCTGGGATCCTAACAGGTGCTATCACCCAGATAAGAATGGACCTAGCAACAACAGCAATTAAGAGATGGTTCTATACTTCTGAAAAACTCCTATCTCCTGATCAGAGGCCTTGCTGTCAGATGTAGTTTATCATCATACCCAGGACAGGAAGAGGTTAATATTATAGTGTTCAGGGAAACATCCTATCTGTAGTCTGTTGCAAAAAGTAACAGTTCTGTAGAAATAGATGTTTGAGTGGAACTTCCTCATTACCAACAGGAATATGAAAGGAATAGGAATGAGTTGACCCTGTTTATGTTACATGGCATCTCTTAATTCTGAAGGTCTGAACTGGTAGAACTAAGGGATGTCACTCATCTGAACATTTTCCCTAGAAATAAGGATAAAGAAGTAAGAGGCTAATAATGTTTCATGTCTGGGAACGGGGTTGCAGGATGGAAAATAATTTATCAACCACAAGTCTGCATAAATGCTTTTGAACTCCATCAAGTTTTAAAAGTGAAGATTATGTAGCTCCAATACAACAATAATCCGTTTTTTTATAAAGATTGAGCACAGCAGGAGGAGTTAAGTAACCAACCATATTTCTGATATCTTTAGCGATGTTACAAATATACAAGTTCTGCTTAGGGTCTGTTATAGCTTCACCTCCAGCAGACATTTGAAGCAAGCAATTGCTAAATCTGCAGCCAAGAAAGCTGTTTCACTGTATTGTGTCAGACAATTTCTCTTGCCAGAATCTATCTTACATATTTAAAAATCTACCATTCGTCCATACATTGAATATTGCTGCCACATCTGGTCTGGCGCTCCTGCTATATTTTTAATTCTTGATAAAATCCAAAGAACAATCTGCAATGTTTTTGGTCCTGACCTGGCATCTCAGCTTCAGTCCCTTTCCCACCACCATAATGTAGCTTTCCTGTGCATTATCTATAAATACTTTCATGGTAATTGATCTGATGAATTTCCTCTATGTTACCTAGACTTAATGAATTTAATACCAATACTAAATTGGTGGCAAGGTTTAATCATTTTACAGTTGAAATGGCTAGATGAAACTGTAAGTTTTATGCTAATAGTTTCTTCTATAGCACTTCTCACTTCTGGCATTCTCTTTAGGCTTCTTCCTTCCCAGTCAACTTTGATCTTCAAAAATTTAAATGCAATGTCAATTGTTATCTACTGTGTTCTTAAAACTTTGTCTTTTATTGTCCTCTCTCATTAATAGTAGTTCTTCTCATATTCTCTAACACTCACTAACCCCTTGCATCCTAGTGGCTTTATTGCCCTGAAATTATTGAAAAATTAAGAAAAGTAGCATCATTAAAATTACAACCTCTTATCAGTGCTGGAACAAATTTGGGGTCTGCTTGGTAGTGATAAAACGTTACTACCTTTGTTGTGGAGGCTTTGAATGATACAAGCCAGTCTTTCCCCAATTGAATTGCAAGAACTAGGTCAATGGAGTGATCAGTTATTTGGTCAGAGTTTGGGCAGTGAGTCTTCCCAAGAACTTCTCAGTTAAAGAACTTTATTATATACATAAAAATATATGCTTACATGAATTTTTATTAAGATGCTCAAATGCAAAGTAGATATAAATTTATGCTGCTTGAAAAACATGAATTTTTGTATTAAGATGCTCAATTAATTTGTTTTTATTTGTTTACTTTGTGGATACAAAAATTTAAAATATGGGTTTTGAAAATCTGATATTTTAGAACTTTTTTGTGACTAATCAATTGATTAATTTGTTTTTATGGCTTTAAATTTTTTTTAGGGGGGAGACAATGATTTACTGATACATTTCCTATTAATTAAGACATAGCTGTGGAGAAAAGTGTTGGATTCTTAGTTTTCCAAAGAGTGTTTCTGCATAAGTGAATATAACAAACCCAACTGGAATTGGAACTTGGCTCTCCAATTCCAAACCATTATCCATTACAGCAACCACACATTTAAGCTTACAGCACCTGGTATTCCCAAGTGGTCACCCATCTAAGTACTGGTTAGGTTCAACTTGACTTAACTTTGGTGACTGTAGAAGAACAAGTATTTCAAAATGATATGGCTGTAAGCTTTTGTTTGACTGAAAGTCTTCTATGTCTGAGCAGTCTAAAAGCACAATGGGCTTAATGATAGTTTCTTCTACAAGATGGATAAAGGTTTGAAACTAGCTGCAAGGAAACTCATCCTTTGCTGATTTGAAATCCCGCTGAAAAAATCTCCTTAGTTAAAACCATTGAATATTTAAACTCTGATGAAGGAAAATTCTCTGAATTAAAACTTTTGAAGATTTGAAACTGGCTGAAAGGAAAATCTTTTGAATTAAAACCTTTGAAGATTTGAAACTATGCTGAAATAAAAACCCCTTATAAAAACCATTGAATATTTAAAACCTTGCTAGAAGGAAAAACCACTTTATTAAAACATTTGAAGATTTGAAACCCTGCAAGAAAGGATAATCCTCTTTGAATATTTTAAATCCTGCTGATTTTCTTACTGGAATCAGATAGTTTCTCTGTATGGCTTTTGTGCAATCAAAATGAAATAGTTTATTATTTATGAGGTATTGGCAAGAAACATTAAGTACTTATTTCTTTTTTTCTTTCTTTCTGAAATTGTGTAAGGCTCTCTGATATGGCTTTTGTGCAATCAAAAGGGAATAGTCGATTATTTATGAGGTATTCACAAGAGACATTAAACACTTCTATCTTCTTTCTTTCTAGCCAAATCCCCATTCAAACATCCTTCCCATGTAGATCTAGTTTTCCTAGCAGTTAAAGAATACTTTTATGAAAACATTTGTTGTTTTTTTTAATCATTTCATGCAAAGCAAAATGAAAATGTCACTAGGATGCAGCGGGTTACATGGAGTGAAAGAGAATGAGAAGACATTAATGAGAAGAAGTGAGGAAAAAGATAATAAAGAAATAAGATTTCAGAAGACAGAGATGTAACGGTCATGCAAACTAACAAAGAAAGGAATAAGCACAAATATAATAGGATTGTATGTTTTATAGAAAAGGCAAAATCATTTGATAAGATATAACATAAAGATCTTTTGAAATGCAGTTCTCCTGACAAATGCAAAGAATATCATGGACAGAACATAAACCATAAGGAAATTTTAAGAAGTTTTATAATCACCTAAAGTTTATACTGGGAGCCAACAAAAAGACAGAAATCAAATTGAGTAGATACACAAAAAATGAAAGGGATTTGTCTTCTCACTGGATCAAGACTTTGCTGGGTTTTATACATTGGCAGGCAAGATATTAATAGTATAAGATATCACAAATGACACTGTGTTGATGACAGACAAGTAAAAAAAAACTACAGTACCTCCTTGACAGGATAGTAAAGGAAAGTGAGAAGAAAGAACTAAACATCAATTGTAAAAAGATAGAATGTATGTTTGTTGGTAAAAAGAACAGAATGTGTGCATTACAAATTGGTGACACCAAAATCAAGATGACAAGATGGCAGAAAATGTGACACTGAAATCCAAACCTGTATTGGATTAATGAAAAATACATTTGAAAAGCTAAACAAATTTCTGAGAAACAGGAAGTGCTGAACCGTTTGTTATGTAATATCAACCTTCTAGTATGGAAGTGAATGCTGGTCAATCTCCTCACAGATGAAGTAAAGACTTCAGGCTAGAGGAATGTGACTCTATAGAAAGATACTGATAATTCCATAGATGGATTGTGTAAACAACAAAGGTATCTTAAAGAACCTGGAAACAAAATGGGGACACATATGCTGAATCACAAAGCAACAGTAGAATTTTCTTGGACATATAATGAGAAAGGAGAGTTTGGAGATTTTGACACTCTGAAGGCAAATCAAAGACAAGAATGACAGAAAAAGGCAGTGAGCCACTTACCTGATGAGATTATATGAATGGTTAGCAGACTGAGGGTGTTGTCTGGTGTGGCAAACAGACAATGGTTGCTAAGGGTGACAAGGAATAAGAGGTTGTGGAGAGCAATGATTGCCCAAGTCTGGTAAGGACACTACATAGAAGAAGATACCTATATTTGTGGTGTGTTTTCAGAGAAATTAGCTTCCTTTTCAGATTTTAATACTTCTAAAGCACTGAAATTTAAAAATACATTATTTTTTTTAAATAGGTGTCTGCAAATTCTTAAATTGCTTAAACAAATTACTGGTATAATTTGCAGACGATGAATTTATAAATATTCAAGCAGATATTTCATTTATTTCAAATTAAGAGAAAAAAAAGAGATAAATCTATAAAAAAACATTTGTCAATTAATTTTCAAGCAGTAAACTAAAAAAAATGCATAAAAGAATGAAAATTATTCTGTATGATTTGAATTTTTAAAATAAATGAGTACAATTTAACATATTTATATAAGTTACTGTTAAAATGAATCAAATAGAAATCCTTTTTTTTAAATGAGTTGATATTTACAATGCAAAAAGAAGACATAACTTTTCTGGGGAATAGAAAAGTCCAAACTAATCAGTGCATTTTGTTATTTTGTTATTTATATCATATGAGAAGAATGTTGCTTATGAATTGGCAAGGAAGGGCATGTTATTTATATTACATTCAAGCAAACTATTGTTTTCAATATCACGTTTTGACCATTCTGCCCCTTGCCTTCAACTGGTGTTTGTCAATTCAGGTAACCTTCAGGAAAATTCAAATTTGACCCTGTTGTAATGTACAGAAAAAGTGTGTTGAGGTTGGGGGAAACACCTAACTGATTGCTCTCCCAGCAGTTGTGTGTATAATAAGCAGAGAGTGGGGAGAGATGAGAGGTAGCAAAAATAACACTGCCTTGGAAACCACGGTAACTTTAGGAACAAAATGCCCATTGGACTGACTTCACAAGACTGTGCTGACTATTGGTTTCTCTCTTGCATTTATTGGTATGTGGTATCTTACAAAGACCATTGAGAGGCCTGTTTCTAGACATGCCAAGCTGTCCTGCTGCTAACAAGGAAAACCCAAATGTAACTGATGTTGAAAAACATGTATGCACATGATCCAAGGCCTCTTTTGCATCTGTACTGATACTCATTTGCCCAAAAACTTGCTATTTAATCTATGGGACAGATTATTCTCATTCTGCTATGTCTAATGATATCTCATCTAGTTCTTATTTGGACAGGCTTATGACCTGTTACAGAATGAGAAAGCCAGGGCCAGTGATGGCTAGAGTGACTCGTAGGTGGGGCATTTTGACAGTGTTGGATTGCCTTAGTCTGGGTTCTGAATATAAATCCAAAACAGTATGAATTCAACAGAAGGTCTCGAGAATTCTGATACATTGATATGCCTCCCACACCCAGGTTTGCAACCAGCTAATACCACCCAGAGAGGGATGCTGAACCAATGTGCAACATGGGTTTCTGTCAGTCCTATTACTGCCTTTTAAAATCCAAGCTGCCAGGGTTAATAAAATGAATACCAAAAGTAAAGGACCTTTTTCATTGATACTATTTTTATTTAGAGTTTTGGATAACCGAGACAACACAGAGATCAACAGGCTATGTCATGTTGAAACACCGGTATGCATACAATCACTGAAGTTAAGCAATGTTGGCCAATACCAAGATTGTTTGGGGATACCAGGTGCTGTAAGTTTGGATGTGCAGGTGGTGTAGGAATAATGACTTCCAACTGGAAAATGGAGAGCCAAGTTCCAATTCCAGGATATATTCATTATATTTGCTTAAATGCAAATGCTTTTGGGAAAGGTATGAATCCATCTATTCTCCTCCAGCTATGGGTTAAATAGTAGGTCACTGTCACTGGTCACTACCTTGTGGATATCAGGTGCTGTAAGCTTGGATGTGTGGGTGGTGTATTGGATGATGTCTCTAAATTTGATAATGGAGTAAACAGTTCCTATTCCAGTAAGGTTCATTATATTCACTTATGTGCAAATACTCTTGGGAAAGATATGAATGCACCTCTTCTCCTTCAGCTACGGGTTAAATAGTTGATCTTATAAATTATTATTATCTCCAAAAATTATTACAATCCAAAAATATTATCTGGCTTTAAAATAACCTACAAAAAGGTTGATAAGCCATAAAAAATAATAAATCATTCAATCTAATTTAGGTGGGGGAATAATAGCCTAGTGGATTAAAGAATTGGTTTGTGAATTTAGTGAAATAGTAATTGCGAGTTCAATTCCTGGACTGGGCAGTGTGGACTTGGACTCAGTTGAAATAGATTGAGCAATGACTGATCAGATTTCTGGAATGAGTTATTGTAACTATTATACATCATTTGTAGTGTTCTCCTCATTTTTATTGCTATATTCATGATGTTTCAGCCATAGGCCACTCCAACCTTCTTCAGGTGATATAATTTGGAATTTCAAACTGAACCCTTTATTTAGTTCACAGATGTAGATTGTTCTAATTCCATGTGCCATTTTTATTTTTTTGGATATCTCAATATAAGTTAAATCCCCATTAGTAACTTATCTCACCAAGTTTATGCTCGCTCTGCTATGGGGAACTTACAACTCTTTGGGCCAAGTCACTTTTTGGATTACTCAACCAATGCTTTTATCTACTGGGTTATGTGTTCTTTGCAGACATGACCCAGTAAATAAAAATGTCAGCAATACTACAACAACCTATTTTTCTTTGCCTGTGAACATTCTCTTAAAAAATGGTTTAATTCTGTTGTCTTATTTCCAAATATCATACTGATTCCCATATCCAGGTGTTTTCATTGCTTTACAATGCTCATATAACTATGTGGAGTATTTCTGCAATGTCCTGTATCATGTGAACTAGATAATTTTTAATCAGTATTTTGAGTTTTTCATCAATGATTGGCCAGCCTACTAGAATATTCCAGAGCTCATAAAGCACTTAAGAACAATGCTCTCAGCTATGGTGCCAGATCCATAAATGACATATATATTTTGCTGTTTGTACAGGATTTCTTTTTTCTTTCTGGAAATAAAAGAGCATCAGATAATAAAAATACTCCACTTGTAATGTAAAATCTTTTAAAATTTATAGTTTATAAAAGAATCCGCTAGAAAGACATATTGGAATGTCACTTTTCA